AGAGGGGGCCTGCGCGCCTGCTAGTGTCGGAAGAGGCTCGAGGAGGCGCTCGCCGAGGAAAGGAGGAAAGCAGGTGACGGGCCAGCAGGTGTGCAGGCGCCCGGGGAGGCAGCCCCCGCGCCAGTTCAGGAGGCCTGCGCGGGCCCCGCGGCTGCATCCGCCGCGTCTCCCAGGGGGGCGCCCCAGGCAGCGCCGCCGCCGCTGACGCCGGCTGACGGCCAGGAGCTGCGCGACGTCGGCGGGCCGATGGTCGCCGACGGCAAGCAGGGGGCCCCGCGCGGCGCGGAGACTGGAGCCGACCAGGGCGTTAAAAAGTCCCGCGTCGCCGACAGGCCGACGCAGGTCGACGGCGACCGAAGACAAGTGAGGGGCCAGAGCAGCGGCGCCCAGGGCGATGCGGAGTCCAAGAAGCTTCGCACCGTCGGCGGCCTAGGCATGAACCTGGCGCAGGGCGTGTTCGTGGCCATGATCGCCGAGGTCGCTGAGGTCAGCGCGGAGGCACAAGTGCGTGCGGCGAGGCCAGGCGTCTTGCTGGAGCCCGCCCTGGCGGGGGCTGGCCGTCAAAGCGAGAGGGGGCTCATGCTGGAGATCGGGGCGTGCGAGCGCGCGCTGCGGGGCGAGGCTCGCGGCGGGCGCGTCGGTGCCCAGTGGCTGCGCGACGGGCGCCACGACGGTAACGGAGCAATGTTCGCTCGCGTCCGCCTCGCGGCCATGCAGGTGGCGCGGGGGGCCAGGAGCGACTGCTTCGCAGGGGCGCCCAGCCTGCCCTGCGCGAGGCTGGCCCTCAGCTTCGCGGCCGCGCTGGTTGGGGGGCTCGGTGGAGGCTGGTCGCGCTGCGCGACGTGCTGGTCGCCTTCCACCGCGCGCTGCTCGACGAGGACATCTGGGTGGGCCCGCCCAAGTCTGAGGGGGGGGCCCCAGTGCGCGCGGCAGCTTCGGAAGGCGCTCTACAGCGCGAGGAGGGCAGCGCTGGAGTTCCAGGGGCGCGTTATCGACGCGATCGCGAGGTCGGGCTTCAAGATACTTGCACTGGCAGCGCAGGTGTTCTACCGCGTGCGTCGGGCGATCTTCGTCGCAGTCCACGGTGGCGACTTCTGCGCGGGAGGCGAGCGGGAGGAGCTAGACTGGCTTGACGGGGTTCTGGAACAGCACTTAGCGATAGAGCGCGGGCCTCGAGTCGGCCCGCTGGCAGTCGGAATGGACCGGCCGCGGCCTCTTCATCGAGCGCGCGACCGGCTGGACCGACAACGGCTTCCACTGGCTCGCCGACGCAGTGCACATTGAGAAGGTCACCGCGTACAACGACAGGGCCGAGAGGGGCGCGCCCAGCCGACTTTTCAGCCCAGGGAGCAAGCGCGCGGGCAAGAGTCGGACGGGCGCTGCAGACTTGCTTGGCGACCAAGAGCGGAGCGAGTACAGGGGCCTCGCCCTGGCTGCGCACGACGTGGCTGCCGATCGCCCAGACATCCAGTGCGCGACGGGAGTGCTGATGAGGGCGCTGGAGGAGCCGACGTTGCTGCAGAGGCTCCAGCTCGGACCCTTTGGGAGCTACCTCATGACGTGCAATGACGCGCAAGGAGCTGCAGTGGGACTTCAAGTACCAGGAGACCCCGCAGGAGTTGCGCGTTGAGGCGGACTCCGACTGGGCGTAGTGCCCGAGGACCAGGAGGTCTACCGGTGGCGGGCACGTGTTCGGGGCAAGCATCTGCTGGGCAGATGCTGCGGGCAGCGCCATGACATCGCCCTCTCGTCGGGCGAGGCCGAGCTGCGCGAGTTAGTGAACGGAGTTGCGCACGGGCTGTTCCTCAAGTGCGTGCTGGAGTAGATGGGCGCGCTGAGCCTCGTGGTGAAGGTCGGCGGCGACTCGGCGGCGGCGTTCGGCATCTCCCGCCGCCTTGGCGCGGGCCGAATCAGACACCTGGAGGCCAAGCAGCTTTGGATCCAGGAGAAGACGAGGTCGGGAGAGGTCCAGCCGATCAGGATCAAGACAGCAGTGAACAGAGGAGACCTGCTCACCAAGTTCCTTCACCCCGAGAGGTGCTGGGAGCTGGTCGGCGACCTGCCGCTGAGCGCGCACTCGGCAAGGCGCGGTGCGAGCGCGCTGGCGGCAGCGACGGCGCCGGTGCCCCCGCCCGAGACGGCGGCGGCGATGGGCGAGAAGGAGGCCCAGAGCATGGGGATCAACCCAGTGATGGCGGCGCTCTTCCTCGTCGCCCTCGGCTGGCTCAACTCGAGGCCGCGGGTCCAGAAGGCGGTTGGGCAGCGGGGCCGGGGCGTCCAGGCCGACGAGGTGGTCCAGGGCGCGACAGTGCCAGACTCGGTCAGCATCGGGTCGGCAACCAGTATTGCGAGGCGCAGGGGGCGTAATTTCGCGGCGCTGAGGTTCGGTGAGCTGCGCCACTCAGCTCGCGTGCGCGGCGGGCTTTCGAGCGCGGGGGAGGTGGGGGAGTTCGAGAGATGCCAGATCTGCGGTGCGGCTGAGTGAGTCCTCATGCCGCCTATGCATGCTGCCTGCTCGGTGCAGTCAGGCACCAGGGCTGATGGAGTTCGGGCCAAAGGGGGTCGACGGTTCTCTCTTCCAGGCTCCTGCGCGGCCAGCTCGAGCGGGGCCCTGCAGAGCGACGGGGGCACGGGCGAGGATCAGAGCGTTGGAGATGCTCTGGTAGAGGTTGCTCGCGCCGCAGAGAGGCCCTTCGGCGGATTTGGCAGAGGGCGGTCGAGGGGGGCCGCCGAGGTCTGAGGGGGCCGCGGCGAGGATGCGCGCGAGTCTCCGGCCCCCGATTTTAGGGAAAAGTTGAGATGCGTATGAGAGGCCGGCGGGGTTTCCCTCCCCGGCGTATCCGACGTTGTGTCGCTGTATCTGCTCGAGCGCGCCTTGCCAACCCAGGAGAAAAGAGAGGCTCTTGGGGCTCGGGGATGGGCTCTTAGGGGTCAGGAGGGACCCCAGAGGCCAAATCGGGTCCACGCCGCGTTCCCGCGCTGGCTCCGCGCGGCAGGTCGGGGCGCGAGCAGGGGCATGGATATGATGTCGATCGCCTAGTATTAAGTCGTGCGTGTCCCTCTGCAGGAGTGATCTTCAAAAATAGTTAAAACAAGAGTTAGGGGACGATTTGTTGAGTGTTTTTTTGTTGGTGTTGCATGTTTGAACGGTTTTCATTTTTTGCGCAAGATCCGCCTCTAGGGGGACTTGCCCGACCTAAGCCTAGTATCCGCGCCCTCGCGGTCTGGATTCTGGGGCGCGATTCCGCGGACACGAGGCGGCGCGGATGCGTTCCGCGCGGCGCATTCGCGACCAGATGTTCAGTATCCGCGAGGTCGCAGCCCACGGTCTTGGCCCGCGAGGCCGCGGATGCAGATACTTGTCCAACCACGATGCGCAGTCGAAGGGGCAGGGTTTCTCCGCCTTCAAGCTTTCAAGATTCCAATCCAGGGTTTTCGGAGTTTTTTAGTTTGCACACGAGCTGCAGAAACCATGGCGGTTGCATCGTTTGGAACTCCTGGAGCGTATCCTGAGCCAGTCGGAACGCGACAACATTCTCGTCCTAGACAAGCCCGGGTATCCGGAGATTGTGGTTGTAATCTCGGCGTTTCCTGTTTTCTTTCATGTCGGCCTTTCGGCATCTGGGGGCTGCTCTCGGGCTCGGGCTCGGGAGCATGGCACGTGTAACCTGTCCATGACCAGAGGCCCATGCCTTCGCGGCGTGGATACCGAGGCCGGCCCAACGGATACCCGGTGGGTGCAGTCCGCGCGTGGAATTTCCGTGGGACCACGAAGTCGCGGCCGAGGAGTGAAGACCACGCGGCCGTGGACGTGGATTGTTTTCCCTCCAGTGGGTCCTCCTCGGGATGGGGTGAGCCAGGTTCATCACGGAGAGAGGAGCTTCTTAAAGTAGGGGCAAGCGCGAACCAGGAAATCGAGGGAGCCAGGGAGTCTCGAGACGAATCGGGGAATCGAGAAAGCGAGCTCGAGAATGTCTCAACTCGTTTTCTGTCGTGTGCCATCGTTTCAGATCTTCCTGATTGGCTCTCAGAGTTCCTTGCTCGTGTTTTTTCCGCCTGAGTTTCCTGGTACTCTCCTCTGATTTCCTGACTAGCATTTGGCTCCCCTGGGGAAGAAGAGGTCCTGATTATTCGTGTTTTTTCCGTGCTCCCAGAGCCCTGCCCAGTGTGGGGTCCAGGACCCGTTTGCGTCAGGAATTGTGATGTTTCTTAGCAAATTCCAGGGGCAGCTGGAGGAGGGGGGAGTGGGCGAGCGAGGATTGAGGTCGTCGGGCGTTCTTGGTAAGGATTCGGAAGTATCCGAGGCGCCTCGGGAGACCTCCAAGCATGGGGACTTCTGGGGAGCGCTGGAGGCCTCCAGCGCCTTCTGGAGGAGGCGGGGGACATATATATTATATATATATAATATATATATATATATATATATAATATCAGTAAATGAATCATAAACTTGCTTCTGCAGCAGGAAATCAGGAGCATGCCCTCGCAATGCTTCCGCGTCACCTCATCACCTCCACGCCCCATGGCCTGCCCCGTGGGCTCGCGGTGCCTGGCCTGCTGGCGCGCTTCTGCGAAGCGGTGGCAGAGGCGGCTTTCCTCTCCTGGCGTGAGCCCCCTGAAGGCATCCGTCCCCCCATGACGGCCTCTGCTGGCCTGGAGGGGTGCCTTGCTTCGGGCGCCGGTCACGTGTCCTGCGCGGTGCCGTGCTTGGCATCGCTCGGACGTGTGCTTTTTTTTCTCGGCGGAAACCATCGGAGACCATCCTGGACCATCGAGCAACAAAAAACGCACGAAACCGAAAAATGCACAGGAAATGGGCGTCCGAGCCATGGCGAGCGTGCTCTCGCCTCGCTGCCCTGCCACTCTGTTGTGCGGGCGCTCCTCGTGAGCTCCGCCGGTGCTGCCCCTCGTTGCCGCACTGTGGGGTTGCCCGCGCTCCCCATCCCTCCTCCCTCCTCGGGACCTTGCTGATCCTGCCCGCCCCCCCCCCCCCGTTCGGCAGGCCAGCCAGGCACTGCCCGAGAGCCCCGTGATCCTGGACGATAGGACGCAGGAGCGGGCGTCTCGAATCACCCCCTGATCGCAGCCTCCCTGAGGGCAGGATCGGGGCTGCACGCAGTTGGACATATCATGCAGCACCCGCGGAGCAGGTTGACGGAAGAGGAGGAGGAGGATGAGTAGGAGGAGGAGGAGGAGGAAAAGGAGAAAGAGGAGGAGGATGAGGGGGAGGAGGAGGACGGATGACGATGAGAAGGAGGGATGATAATGATGATGTTGACGATGATGACGATGATTATGACGATGACGATGGCGATGATATTGATGAACATGATGATGTTGATGATGTTGCCGCTGATGATAATGAAAATGATGATGACACTGCTGATGATAGTGATGATGATGTTGATGTTGACGATGATGCTGATACTGATGCTTATGCTTATTTTTATGCTTATGATAATGATGGTGGTGGCGGTGATGATGATGATGATGATGATGATGATGATGATGATGATGATGATCATCATCATGATGATGACGATGAGTTTGACGAGGATGCGGGTACGGATGAGGGTGAGGATAGGTGTTGATGAACAGTAATGGGTGGTGATGATGATGGCTATGATGACGATGCTAATGTTGTTGATGAGGAGGAGGAGGCGGAGGAGGAGAACGGCGCGACAACTACGTTGCAACACACACACCCTCGAAGTTTCTTCTTCATAGGGCCGAACTTATTCGCGTTGCGGGAAATGCTCATTGGAAGACAGTTGTTGGAGAACCCTCAAGCGCGCCAAAGCGCCATTCTTGGGATTCCAACGTTACGAATCTACGTTGCCGTTGTTTCCTAACATCTTAGTTCGTGCCAGAGCACGTTTCCCGGGACTTCAGCGTTGCGATTCAACGTTGATAATAGAATATCGTGCCAGATGCCGTTCCTGGGACTTCGGCCATGCGAATGCTGGAAGCAGCTGTAACATGGCAAGCGAGTGTGCGTGGCGCTAAAGCGAGAGCTACATTTTGAAAACGTGCCGCCCTTTATTCTTGAAACCGTTGCACGTCTTCAGAGCAAATTTGCGCAGCGCTGAGGTGAGAGCCGCATTTTGAAAACGGACCGCTCGTAATTGTTGAAGCTGTTGCAAATTCTTCGCGCCTCGCGTGCTCCCGCCAACCATATTTGGTTGTTTCTCTTTTCCTCTCTCTCGTGTGCAATTTTGGCTCCTGCTTGTTAGCTGTAGCTTTGGACGGCGCGCGGCCCTTCCGTTTGCACTCGCGAGTAAAAACATCCCCGCCAACCCATTCAGAAACGCTGCTCATGAGTGCTGACGGGAAATGGGAGGAAGAGACGTATAGTGAACCAAAACAGGTAACCATGGTGGATTGAGGATGCGGGGGAGGAGACGTAGGAGGAGGAGGAGAAGGAGGAGGAGCAGGAGGAGGATGATATGAATGACGACGAGAGGAATCCGTCATTTGCCAGGCATATCAACATGAGTGCAATATAAGTCAACACAAGTGCTCATATCTGGTCTAGGACTGAGTATGCCCAACTATTCGGGCACCCCGGGTCCAGTTCGCCACCAGCGTTTCGGCGTGTGGTTGGCCATCCTCTTCAGGACCTGCCACAACCAACCACACGGGGCAGGCCGACGCTGACACGAACGACTTTGGCCTTCAAAGAAGGGAGGAAACAACTGCCCCCTCTTTCGTGACACCGTCGGCACCTGGCGGCTAGGCCGCTGATGCCCCTTTTTCCTTGTGACCCCCCCGCCCCCGTGACCAGAGCACTGAGTGGAGCACAGGACGGCGGAGTCAACTTCGTATCCCGGTTCACGGGCACCACAATCAGAGCGTACGTGCGAAGCCCCTTCTTTGGTAAAGCGATCACTGGTACTACTCTGGCTGATGGGAAAAAAGGCTGTGGCTGCTGACCGAAAAGCGAGGGAGACGAGCTCCTGGAGAGTTTCTGCTGATAACCCGTCATTTGCCAGGCATATCAACATGAGTGCAACATAAGCCAACACAAGTGCTCATATCTGGTCTAGGACTGAGTATGCCCAACTATTCGGGCACCCCGGGTCCAGCTCGCCACCAGCGTTTCGGCGTGTGGTTGGCCATCCTCTTCAGGACCTGCCACAACCAACCACACGGGGCAGGCCGACGCTGACACGAACGACTTTTTGGCCTTCAAAGAAGGGGGGAAACAACTGAATCGGAGGAGGAGGAGGACGAGGAGGACCAGGAGGAGGGAAGAAGAGCAGGACGACGAGGAAGAGGACAAGGACGAGGCGAGCGACGAGGGCATGGACGAGGAGGGCTCCGCGCTGACGCCCCCAGCACCTTCCGGGAAGCCTCGCCGACGCTCCTACGGGGCACCCGGGGGCCCCCTTGCGAGACCCCGAGAACGCCCCCCCTGCATGCTCCAAGAGACACCCAGTATGGAAGGGGCCCTGGGACACACAAATATACGGTAGGTTCGCGTCGTGTCGACCGGCGGCG